GGTTTTGAATATTTCAAAAGTGAAAGGGTGTTGATTTCACAGAAAATCACAATGTTGATTATGAAATTCACCAAAATTGTAATTGAAAATGATGACAAAATAATTGTATATGTGCTTTAGATTAAGTACAAAAATGGATGGAAAAAGTTATTTAGATTGGAGTCGAAAATATTTCATGATTTGAGTCAAATGAGAAAGTGTAGTGGAATAAGAAGGAAAAAGATTTTTGACCCATTTTCATCTGATTCCAATCAATAGCAAAGTCTGATTCGAATCAAAAACCTTGTGATTTGAATCAAGTGTAAATCTTTGTTTGAATCAATTCAAATAGAGCCAAATGGAAAAGACAAGCAATAAAATAATCGTATTGGGGTGCTCCCCCTGAATGTGTTAGGGATATTCAACAGTCTCCCCCTAGTGATATGCAGCTTCAATACAAGTTTATATGAATTGTCATCATCATAACACATTTAGACAAAATACACTTTTTGGTTCTGTATGTTAACCTCTGGGTTCATTTTGGTCCATTAACTTAAAAAGATTTCATATTGGTCCCTTAACTTTTAAAATATTTCATTTTAGTCCTTTTTATCTAATTAGCAACAAAATAACATAGAAATCGGTTGCCAAATTCATCATTAATTAGACAAAATGAAACTCGAGGTTAACATATAGAACCAAAAAGAGTATTTTACCACACATTTTCAACAACACGCCTTGATAGTCATGTTTAACTTTGGTCACTTCTTGAATGACCTGCAAAACTCGATTCTAAAGAGTCGTCTGTCCTAACATCTTTCCCATTCCCTACGCTAATCATCAATTTAAAGTATCCCCAAGGATAGATCATTGTGCCATTGAATTCCTGCAAGTCGAATCCCCCATATAACCACAAGCTTTTCTTCTTTAGACTCATCTTTTCGAACAACTTTGAGTACATTATATCGCAAGAGTTTCCACCATTAATTAATATCTAAGACACATCAAAGTGACTGATTGTGACTGTTATGACCAATAGAAAGATATCATTTGATATTCCTCCAATCTTTTCAATATTCCAAAAGTCGAGCATTGGTCTTTTTGGAGTGCTGGTTGAGGTATTTCTACCTTTTTTATTGATGAACATCAACTCAGTGATCTTACTCTTCATTGTCCCATTAGGTGAAGCATTCTTCGGTATTGCACCTCGTTTGATGACTGTAATGTGATGACGCTTCCTTTTATGTGTCTGTTCTTCTACGTTGCGTGCCTATTTACCAGCAGTCTCGGCTTCGACTGTCTTGGTCGGGAACTTGCTCTTCAAGGATACCTCAATGTCCCTCGTATCGTATTTGGTGTATTCAAATAGATGATCTCTCCTTATGAAGCCTTCGATAGCATCCTTCAACTGAGGGATAGTATTTCATGCAATCATCAACATGTTGAACATATATATATATTAAAAAAGAAAACTCAAAAATCCGTAAGTGCATAGCTATGAAGTATTCATGCGTCCAATAAAATAACTATATAGATAATGAAGTAAGAGAAATGATAGCAGAGAGAGTAGCATAGGCTGATAGGAGCATGGGGCAGAGAAATCATCAAGTTAAGAGAGGTTAATGAGAGAGTTAGGATTGGAGGAACTATTCCATAATAGAGACATAGCAGAACAGAAGTAGCATGCATGCATGCATGCTTATCTAAGAGTGAAAGAAGAAAAGGACAAAGGTATTTATATTAATATGATATTATAAAGTAATATTTTTGTTGGCATTTAGACTGAGTCAAGTAGTCAACCCTATGTTTCTTGTCAGAAGTGAAAGCGATTGTTCATTTGAGGAACCTTAATACTTGGGGTAGGAGAAATAAAGCATGCTTCTGTATTTTGTCGTTAACTTCCATCGATCAAGTAAATGAAGGGCGAATCCATCAATAGTGAATCTTTATTGTTTTCTTCTATTTTATTTTTTGCATTTCATCATTTATTAATTAGCAATGCAACAGAAAACCAGAGAGGGAAAGTTAATGATATACTTATTCCTCACCCCGATCCATAACTTCATAATAAATTGTTGAATTTTTAAATGCAATGGGAGGGTTGGTTGCTTATTTTAAAATGCGATAATGTCATAACGGATTCGATTAGTTAGATATATTTATTTTCTCTCCTTTTTTGGCCACCGGACTAAAATTTTAGACTCAAAATCTCTAAAATGTATGTTCCATCCGTTTTATTTTTGGTAGACTTTTGCAAGTGCGTGATTTAACGGGATAAACAATGAGAATTTAATTGGATAATCGTCGGTGTAGATGTTAAAATTGTCATTGTAGTCATTACTATATGAAGTAATTCTACATTTACACATACATTCAATCAAAATTCATGTCATATCAGTTTTTTAAAAATAAATAGAATTTAATCGAATAATTATTTCTCATTGGTTGACAGTGTAAATGTTATATATATATATATATATATATATATATATATATATATATATATATATATATATATATATATATATATATATATATATATATATATATATATATATATATATATATATATATATATATATATATATAACCCATGCAACGCACGAGTATATTTGATTAAGATTATTGTAAAAGTAGATCAAAATATATTAACTATATAAAAAAAACAAATTACATATGTTTTCATGAGACTGACATTATTTATGTCGCACATTTCTAAACTTTGTACGCAATATTTGATGTCGAATTAATACATCATCTATCTTCATCAGTTATCAACAACTTTGAACTTCCTCTCTCACTACAAGAAAAACATATTTTAGCGTCGGCCAAAAAATCATCACAAACACCCAATAAACTGTCCCTAACGTGTACTAGTGACGCACTAGCGTCGGTGTCGGGACAATCAATTACCCTATCGAAGCAAAACCTAGTAACTAACTGTCACTATAAGTAGCGACGATATTAACAACGCTAAGGGGTCCCTAATTCAAAGTAGCCGACGTTATGTTACAACTATGGCTACATGTGTCTGTAATGTTGCATCGCCTAATATCGATGCTTTTTACAACGTATTGTCGGCTATGATCAACACTATCGTCCTATGTACAATGTTATAACGTCGGTCACAAGTAACACAACAATTTACAATTTAAACTCATAGCGTCGCCTAAAGCCGACGCTATATATAAATTTTCCTAGTAACCTACTTACTAGCGTCAGATGTTAGTGACGTTATGGCATTGTCCATCTGTCATCATTGACGGTTGTTGGAGTGACTACAACTAAATTTTTAATCTATAGGCGTCGATTTTTAGAGTCACTAAGTTTATAATTATGATCTGTTAGCGTCGGTTTTAACCGATGCTATGTATTTTTTTTTAAAACTGCAAGTTTTTGTAATTGCCACATGATTTTTAATTTCTAAAACTACCAAAACCTGTTTGCATAAGGCAAAAACATAAGCTAATATTTAGATTATGTACATTTAAGTTCTCTTTTCAAGAGACAAAAACATACTTTCATTGTAGAACATGTGGACAACAATTTTGCAAATTTTAAGATTATGTCTCGCAAATCAACCTGTCCATCTAACCAAAGATCATTGTCACAACAATTTGTTAATACTTAAGTTTACGTCTTATACCAGTGCAACAAAACTAAAGTTTAAATTATAAACTAATAAACCAAAATGATAAAAACATGGATACGTTAATCTCCAATTACAAATTGTCTTTGTCTTCATTTTCATCTTCAACTCCAATTCTCCAACTCCAACAAAAATCCAACCATCCCCTAAGTTGAAAAAACATTGCTCGATATTAGACACATTAGTATAAAAAAAATATAAGAAACCAATGTAAATGACCTCGAGACTCAATGTATATTTGAATTAACACAATCCAATTATATTTGAATTAACACAAGAATAGTCCAGAAGTAACTAAGCAATACATAAAGTGAGATTCTAATATATCACTTGCAATTAGGAAAACAAAACAGTGAAACCAATTCTTTCAAAAACTTATAGAAATTTGAGGAATGTCATATAGGTAGGAAATTATCCTTTTGATAATTCCAATATTTTTTGTATGATTACATAACATGAATGTTGACACAAACAGGCTTTAAAATTCTAAATCTCTGCTTGATAATTCCAATATTTTATGAAAAAAGAACAGACAATTACCAGAGGAAATTCAATAGAATATGAATTTTGCAAGCTGCACTAATCACATCACATCCATTTTGGCAAGGATTATTTCCAGGACAAAAATTTAAAAGATCCATTTTGTTATTCATAATTGATTAATTATGGTTGATTAGGGTTCAATTGAACAAGGTTCTGTCTCAAGGTTTTGGTGACTCTTCTTGGCCACTTCAAACTAAATCTGGCAGGCATGACTGTTTTTTCCATACATGATTGATTCTAATGAAAACATAATTTTTACTCCACATTACTAGTGTGTGTTCAAACGTTGATACATGTATCTTTTCCCTTTCCTGACAAACACACAGGTGAAATCAAACTTATATTGCATCATGCAAATGCCAAACTAAATCAACAAGTACCCATTTTTATTCATTTTTAGTTATTGAAATTTGGAATTGATGCATGCTTAAATGGAGTGACTGTGTTTGGTTTGCAGAAACTAGGATCCTCCTTTGCCAATCATTTCAATTTTCATTTCCTCCTTTCTAATCACTTTTTTTCTTAATCAGCAAGAAATTTTTTAATGAGTTTTAATCAAATTATGTAACAAGTGAGCATAACATTTAGATTTCATAAACTAGGAGCAGCAAACATGTAATCAACATTTAATCAAAAGAAACCATGCCTAAACTTGAAAAAATCAACATGTAAATGAGAGAGTTAGAGATCAGAGATTATACTAGTATGTCGAAACTTTTCAGGACTTGCTTCACTCCCTTTCACTGCTAATGTATGCATCCATCAATGGCTCATCAGACTCGTACTCGTGATTAGTACTAGGAGACGTAGAAGGAGCCACCTGAACCGACTACGACATATCAAACATTTGTTTCTTAAATACTTCAAATTGCTTTTCAAATTCTGTCGTCTCCGCCTTAGCTTCTTCTACATGCGTATTAGCTAATGCAACCTCCGCCTTAGCTAATGCAACCTTCTGCCTCGGCTCTAGCAGCCTCAATAGCTTGGCTCTCTGCTTCTGATCTGTTAAGATTTGTAATTGTCACTTATGTCAACAACGACACTCCAAACTTTACATTTACCACCATTTGTGTTATTCCGTAACACCTGCCCCACAACTTACCCTCGACGACTTCTTTCCAGAGTTGTAACTTTTTCGACCCATCCATATCCATATTATTATTGGTTTGTGTGGCTTGTGTCAAGAGATTCATGTAATCTTCTTGTAAAACACAATAATCATTGAATAAGAAGCATAAAATCGTAAACATAGCAGTACATGATTATAAGTTATTGAAGGATAAGGCATACTCAAGTAAGGTTATTGTTCTTAAGTGCTATAATAAATAATTGTATTTGGTAATATCATAAGAAAGCGTTTGGATTTAAGACTATTGACTTAAGCTTGTATGCACATTCATGTTAATTCATATGACAAGGGTATGTGTGACACTATTACTTAATTCAATGCTAACGACGTTGTTACAACCTAAGCCGAAAGCACTATGGAATAATGATGATAAGAAAAATTCATCAAATCTCATTAATTGTTTGAACGCACTTGATATGCCTATTTCCAATGCAATTGCTACTAACAAAGTTTTGAGATGACTTATTAGGAATTAGCAACCGAAGGTCACTGCGATCAAGGAAGCTAATAATCTTACAATAGTGGATCTCATTATATTGATTGGTAAGTTTGAAGAACATGAGCAAGAACTTACTTACTTGGACAAGCATGAGAAAAAGCGTGAGAAGAAGAAGAAAAAAGATAAAGACACAGGTAAGGAGGAAAGAACAAATCCTAAAGCTCTTAAGGAGTCAAGTTCAAGGTCATCAAATTGTGAGCACGTATGCGATAGTGATTTTAGTGATGGTGAAAATTTAAATTGTCATTATGGTTGTAAGATTCCACAAATGCAATCAATTGTTTCACTAACCCCAAGGACTCAATGAAGATTGGGTATCTAGCTTGTCTTGCTGTTTTATAGGAACATTATTTTGACTCTATAAAGAGAATATGAGTTCTCATTTATGGTGGTTCAAGGCATATGGACATATTATAATTCTATTGTATATGGGGCAAGATGATGGATTATGTGATCTAGAAAGCAACAACAGGTTTTTTTTATTGATAAAAGATGCGTAAGTTACTTTTTGATGCTTGTATCCGAGAATACTCGGAAAAGGTATTTCAATCTCATGATGCGGGTTTATCTTCAAGAGACATACTCAATGACACCGAAGAAGGAATTGATTAATCCGAATCGACGAAACATGAGGAGGAGAAAGATAATTAACATGAAAAGGATAAAGATGAAAATTCAATGAAAATGAATGTTCATCAAATCAATGACCTTCTTGGATTCATCACAAGTTATACTTTTGGGTACTTTGTCAAAGTGAAAAGTGGTAAAATCGTGTTGTTCTAAAACCTTTGTGGTGCACTTTGTATTTGGTGCAACTTTCTTTCGAGAGTTCTGTGTGAAATACAAGTGCACCCTACGTCATATTGTATGATGAGGTAGTATCGATTTAACTTTTGCTTTGTTAGTAAGTTCTCTCTTTTACTTGTTTATTTCTCTAAATACATGACATACTTGGTGTATGGTATATATACTATAAGTACTCATTTACAACATAATTCTTAATTAATAATGATTGTGACTTATCAATTTACATACTTGAAATGACCTCATCATATTATATTTTCATGTATTTCTTATAAACACTTATGTGTACATAACCATGTTTAGCTTCATTAAACATCAAGCATAATACATTTGACATTAAATCATATTTGATTCTACTAACGTGTAACTTGTCAAAGAGTTCTCTAAGTTTATGCAGGGAGTGTTTGAAATGAGTCTTATGGGAAGTTGAATTACTTTCCTGGACTCCAAATATAGTAGCTCAAGGAAGGAACACATGCGTGGGGAATTACCTCCGCAATCATGTTGAAAATTGGGGATTAATAATGACTCCAATGTTGCTTTATTTATTATGATACTTGCACTTTTATACTTTTTCTCTAACAATTCATTTGAGTATTCTACATCATGTGAGTTCAACTTCCATTCCATCAATAGTGAGGTGATATTGTTCCAAATCTCTCCTTGAAAGTAAGAAGTTTCTTAGTACATGTTTTTGTTGATGAATAATGCTTTCTATGTTCTCAAATGATGAAAACCATGAATGTTCATTTCCAATTTTTTTGATTGATAATCATTGCGTGTTCTCAATGCATATGCATATAATGACTTCATGTATTAACTCTTTCACATTTGTATAAGTTTGTTCTTGTATGTACAAGTATGTGTTTCTATTATCATTTCTTGAATTCGTGCATGGGTTTAATGTAATCATGTTAATTACATGTACGATTCATATTATAGTTGAGTCACATGTTATGGCATCATTTTCATTTTGGATTGAGTAGTGGCATGTTCTTGTCACTATGCTAGGCACATGCGTGTGCGACATCAGGAGTTCCATTGTGTTGTATTAGTATTGGTATTGGAATATGATACTTCTTTGCAAAAATGTCTTTGTGTGATATATTAGTATTGGTATTGGAATATGATACTTCTCACGATTTTCCTTCTTTATTTTTGATATTATTGTAATACGGTGGGAGAATTGATTTGGGTGTTTTGTGTTTGATTGCAATTGTTGCGGATGGCAAGAGTTGCCACCAACTTTTCTTTTATCCAATAAAGGAAAGGGTGAAAATAAAAGTAATGACCTTTTGAGAATTTTCTTGAGTTTGTGGGGTAGGTTATGAAAAGGGAAGGTGTTAGCACCCTTTTCATCTGTAGTTATCTATGGGCTCTTAGTTTCTAGCTCACTTTTGAAATGCTTTTGTGAATGTGTTTGTTTGAAAATATTTTGAAAAGTGCCATCGTTGGGAAAACTTTGTAATGATTATCGCATCTATAAGAATGTATACAAAGTGTTTACTTTGAAAATATTTCAAGAAAAGTGTATGTGTGTTTAAAGTTATTTTGTTTTTGAAATGTTTGTGAGAAAGCAACTACGAACGTTCTACCTACTCAAAAGAAATATTTGTTCTTTTCCTCCTCCTTTAGATATTGTTATCTTACCATTGATTGATAAGAAGCCCTATCATTGGATGTGAAGGGACGGGCATGGATCATCGTATAGTCATAGAAAGCAACATTGTAGGATACCTTAGCAATTTTTGTAAGGGTCTAAGATCGTTTATCAAAGGCAACATTTGAAGGGTCATCGAGGGACTACGATCTTGTATTCGAGGGTCATTGCTAAAGTATCTCACGTTCGAGGGACATGACTATTTTCATCATAGGCAACAAGTGATGTTAGCCCTAGAGGTGTAAGTGTGCAAGTGTTTTGATTTCATGCATTTTTTATCTTTGGATTTTGCTATTTGTTGATTTTAGTCTTACCACACAAACCCTAATTACTAGCATTTATATTAAAAGCGATAAATTGCAAAAATGTAAATTTCTACGCTATTATATCATTGGGGACGAGGGTACAAATTTACAAATGGGGAGATACAAGTAAATAAAATCTAATTACTATTACAACCATATTAAATTTGAATAATAATGTACAAGATTGTGAAATAATATACAAGGAAAGAAGAAATTGTTTTTTGTTTATGTTTTTGAAAGGTTTTAATTCTAACTAGGTTAAGTAAAAAAGAAAATAAAATGACTAATTTAAATAAAAACTAAACCAAATTGATTTAAGAAAATAAAATAAATTGTTTAAGAGAAGGCAAGTTTTTTAGGGTTTTGTATGAAAAAGATTTTATATTAATTAAACTAGTATAAAAGGTTAATTAATTAAAAGGAACCTAAGTTCTAAATTAATTTTAATTAAAAATAAAAGAAAATAAACCTAAGTCTAATTATTATTTAAATTTAAGAAAAGAAATTAAATTTGTTAGGAAAATATTTTTGGTCTTTTTATCTTTAAAAGAAATAAAATAAAAAGTATTTTAAATATGTAAATAAACAAAAAATATATTTTTGGATTTTTAATTAATAAAAATAATAATAATAATAATAATAATAATAATAATAATAATAATAATAATAATAATATCAATAATAATAATAAGGAAAAGAAAAATAAAAAGAAAAGTCAAGAGGGTGTAAAATGAGAAAGAGTGTTTATGAGTGAAAAACAGTTTTCTATTTGATTAGGCCCAATATATATTTTGTTAATCAGAAAAAGAAAATAATAAAAAAAACAAGTGGGCTGCGTAGTTGAAAAGGAAACAGAGGGGTATTGCTGAGTAAAAAAACAAGGCCCAATGACCTTAGGCCTAGGCACGCTGGCTTGTGACAAAAAAAAGAAAATCATGAAAAAGTTAGAAAAAAGGACAGCGCTGGGGCTCGAACCCAGGCCCTTGGCAATAAAGCGCGTGCTCTCTACCAGTGGGATGGCTATACATCTGGTGTCTTATATCAAACCATAAATATATATTACAAAACCAGTTCTAATGATAAACTTCATCTTCTTCCTCGCGCCAGCCAGAGTCTCTACAACTCATTCATTTCTCAACCATTATCAAAAGTATGAACATCAAACTTGTTAGAAATTTCACCATGATTCCAGAAATGTAAATAACTTAAACAATGGCTCAAAGATGATCATTGATTTTGACTATTACCAATTCTAACCTAATTTTTTCATGAAGTTCAACTCTAAAATTCTCACTACTCAGGCAATATAAATGAATTCTAAGGACATGGTCAGTTTCAAGGATATGATGTCTACATTTTATCTTTGAAAATGGAAAGCTAACAATGCATATATGAAGAGATTTAAAATCAGAAAACTTACCTTAAAACTGGATATTGTGTTTTGAGTTAGAGCTCACTTCAAGATGTTTTAATGGCCTGGTTAGCTTCCTTGAACCTCTAGAAAACTATTCCAATGGTTACTTTGAGCTGAGAGCGCTTGAACTGTTCTAGAGAAGTCTAAGTGCAGACCTCTATTTTTGAAAATGGAGGATAGTGAAAATGGTGTTACAGTTTGAAAATAGGTATTGGGATGCCTTATATTTGAGATAAGGAAGCTTTTGAAATGGTTTGGCCAAGAAACGCACGAGTGAAATGGAAGTTTGATGTGTAAAGTCAAAATCTGCACAATAATGGTGTTTTGAGGCAATTTCTGGCTT